CAAATAGTAGGTTATTATTACACAAAAAATAGGCTTTCTCATTAAATCAGCCCTGAGGAAATATGTGTTAGATCTTGAGAGTTAGGATAGAAAGAAAGGGGAAGATAAGAGAAGAAAAAGAGAAAGATGGGGGGGAGCCTAGAACCAGAATATAAAATTCTAGGAGAAGAGGAAGTTTAAGGCAAACTGAATAATGCTTTTCATTAATCACCCTTTTTGGCAGAATACATGCATGATATTTATAGTATGGTACATAAACTGAAAATAACTACCTTATCCTATCCATATAGAATTGACAATGATGTTAGCAACGCTGGACACCTGTAACAGTTAATACAAGACTCAGACCAAAATATAATAATTAACTGAACAATAAACTAGTAAAGGCCCTTGGTTCCTATCAAAACCCTCCCCTAGGAGAACAGCCTTGTCCTCAAGGCGGAGGGAGTCAAATCATATCCTCCCCAACTGGATTCCTTTAGAGGCCACAGTGCGTGTTCTCCAAATTATCATTTTTTGGATCTTCAATTAACTCAAGGAGCATAAGAGAGGCAATTATGCATATATGATTAGGAAAAATTTATCCCCACATTTGAAAGATAACCTTTTTCTTTGTGTAGTGACCACTGTTCTTTCAAAACTCATTTAAATTAAATCAAACAATTTATGTGAAAAATTAACCATGATTGAAAAAAAAACCTTAAAAATTTAAAATCACTATCATGGTTAAAAGAAATAGACTTATATCATGAGTAATATCGCTCTTTAACTTGGGTTTTGGATTTCCAAAGTCCAAAAATATCATTTAATCATTAGCCCAAACCAAACTCATACTTTCAAACATATGAATTAATAAATCATTTAATATAAGTTATGGAGTCCATTAGTCAAAAGTCAACATGTTAAAAGAGTGTCATTTGTAGAGTTTTAAAGGTCTCTAGCCTTCTAACAACCCTCTCATATCAGATAGTAGTAATTAAAAGTATTAATTTACAACATTAGAGTAGATAAGCCCTATGCGGCAATATATAACAAATCAGCATATAGAACAAAAGTCGGGAGGCTGTACAAGTTATAGCAGCACACTATGTCTCCAAAGCCTTCCCTGATAGGCCACCACCTGAAGATAGTAGAAACCATGAGGTGAAACAAACGTCTCAGTAACCAACTTTTCAACTCATTATACATATTAACATGTGCTCGTCAGGTGTCAAGTGGGATAATTATTAAATCTCAAAAAATATAGATATATCAATAAAAAAATGTATATTCAGATAGTTTCAATAATCCAAACCCTCATTATGAGACTAATGCACAAGCCACATAAGTCTATCCCTTACTATAGGAGATCAATCAGACATATAGGTCTATTCCACACTTTAGGGGACGAATATAAAATCACAAAAGTCTATCCCTTACAATTGGCCTATCCCACACTTTAAAGGACGAATAAAAAGTCATAAAGGTCTATCCCTTACTCTGGGAATGAAGGAAGCCCACCAATATGTACCAATGGCAGCCTTATCACATAGTAGGATAAAACTCAATCCAAAATCCAAATAACTACCAATCATTCACAATATAACGAAAAATGTCTCAATTTTTTCTCAGTACAATCCATAAGATATAAATCATATATTTTTTTAAATTTCTCAATCACAATTTCAAAAATCCCACAAGACAATTTTCATAGCTCAAAAAGTATAACATATCTACTCAAGTTCCAAATAATAAATCATTATTCTAAAATAGCAAAATCCTCACAAATAACATATTAACACATATAACAAGTGGAAAGTGATTACCTCTCACCAAAGCAATAAAAAAGATTACCATAAGGTCAATCTTTTACTCAACCAATAATTAATCTACACAATTAATATAACCACGTATTAATATAAATTAATTAATTAATTAATTAAGCTTCTATATATTATTTGAATTTTTAATTTAATTTAATTCTTATTTTAAATTCTCGTAACTCTCATAAGCCAAAATTAAGTATTTCAAAACCAACTTATAATTTTCTAACAAGCCAAAATATTTATCTACATCCTCCAAATTATTTACTCAAATAAAAAGAATTTTCCAAAATTTCAAAATATGGAATTATTATATTTTAAATTCTAAAAACTCATTTTAAGTTTGAACCTCAAAACCAACCCATAAAAATTCAATAATATTTAAATATTTATAAATAAATAATCTAATCAAAACTTTAATAGTATAACTACCATATATATTTTCATAAATAATAAATTTTTTACCTAAAATAATTATTTTAAAACCTCCAGTCATCCAATAAATAAAACTAAACTGATTAAAATATCAATAATATGTCAAACAACCCAAATAAATTATTTAACTTGAATTTAACTCGTAAAAATATGATATATGCCATATATAACATATTTTTCAACTAAATAAATTAATTTAAATATTAAAAACTAATAAATGGGTAAATCTAAACAGATTAAAATAAATAACTCATTTACCTCTAAATTTTTATGGTTATCTTTTATCAAAACTCAATACTTGCATCACATATAAGTATCAAAATTTTCTCTAATTATTACAGTAATATTACTATTAGAAAGTGTAAATATATAGGAAATATTCATAAAGAAAGTTTGATAGAAAAAAATAATTTTATGTGCCTAAAATATCTTTAAAGCTTTTCCTCTTCTTTACCGGTCTGCTCCTTTCTCTCTCGCACGCACTATTTCTCTCTTTCTCTCCCTTGCTCGGCGAAAACTGAATGTGGGGGGTTATATTCTTTCCACCAAAATTTAGTGGAAAGTTTGACTTCTTTCCCTTTTTTTTAATAAATATTATTATTTTATTATAATAATAAAATATGATTATTTTTTTTTTTTTTGAATTTTTTGATATAAATCCTAAAATTAATTTAGGATATTACAGTAACTACTTGTTAGTTTTAGAAATTTGTGGAATAAAAGTAACTGCTTGGGTTGGTCCAGTAACTGACATCATTAACTACATTGGAATATTATCTTTCTTTTCCATAGAATTATGATTGCTCTCTACAACACGTAGCCTCATATTTCTCCGTGTAAAATGTCTAGAAGAAGCTTGTTTCTGCCAAAAATGATAAAAACAGCCAAATAGAAGTAGAAACAGAAGCAGAATGAGAGGAAGAAGAGAGAGAGAAACTCTAGAACTAGAATTTGTAGTCCTAGAGAAGCAAGAAGATGAAGTTGTTAGGACAGAAGAGGAAAAGAAAATAGGAAGGAGAGATAGAAAAATAGAGAAAATAAATCTAGGACAAGGGTAGGGAAGAAAGGAATTTAGGAGGAAAAGAGAAGAGATAAGGAAAGAGGAATCTAGAACCAGGATCTAGAGTTCTAGATGGGAGAAAGACAATTTACTGGATAATACTACATTCATTGTATCCCAACAGCCCAAGATGCAAAGGCTTTGATACCAAAATGGTAGATCTTGAGAGTTATGACAGTAAGAAAAGGGGAGAGAAGAGAAGAAAAAGAAAAAGATAGGGGGGAAGAGAGAGCCTAGAACCAGAATATAAAATTCTAGGAGAAGAGGAAGTTTAAGGCAAACTAAATAATGCTTTTCATTAATCTCCCCTTTTGGCAGAATACATGTATGATATTTATAGTATGGTACATAAACTGAAAATATCTACCTTGTCCTATCCATATAGAACTGACAATGATGCTACCACCACTGGACACTTGTAACAATTAATACAAGACATGTAATAAAACACAAAACACATAAGACATAGACCCTGTTCAGGCAAAAAAATTGCCAAACACTAGGAAAAAAGCAGAAACCATGGTTTTGGGTCAAAACTATGGTTTTGGCCCAAAAACCATGGTTTGGGGAGAAGCAAAATTGATATGATTTTGGAAAGAAAATTCGAGTGTCAAAGTGGGTTTGTATAATTCCAACGGATATGTGCCTCTTTTTTTTTTGGCCCAGACAAATATACCTAGCGAAATTGAAAAAATGTCACAAAATTTTTGTTAGAAAAAAAAATCATTTTGCTATAAACATTTTAAGTCTTATAATTTATAAATATATATACACATATTAATTATTTATTAACTACATTAGCTTATATATTATTAATTATGTTGGTAAAAAATATATTATTGATAATTTTATTCCTTCAAATTAAAATATATTATAAAATTTATTTTTTATATAATTATCATATTAACTTATACCCTTTTTAGTTATTTGCACATATAAAAAGTACTTCTAATAATAACTATCCAAACACTCTCACTTTATCAGAATTTATTCTTCACAAAATCTATTTGTTAGAAGCTATTTTCTAAACCATTTCATCCAAACATCCCATAATAATTCACTGAACAATAAACTAGTAAAGGCCCCTAGTTCCTATGAATATGTGCCCCGAACTTAACAATACTGAGGCAATGATGTGCATATAAAAGCAACCAGACTGCTCAGGATCTAAATAATCTTCGTTAGCTCCAGATTGAGCTCATAATCACCCAACTAGAGTAATCTGCAAGAGGAAAGAATTCACTGACAGGGGTAGGGAGGAGGAAAAGTAGCAGTTAATCCTATGGTGCTAAGTTGGGAGATAGTAAAGGTCGTTAAAGTAAGCCTTAAATGTGATGAATACATGTTTTATGAAATTTAAATTGCAGTAAGAACGCCTTCAGATACTTAATTTTTACACGTAGTAGTTTATGTGCTTGGCGTTACCATATGAATGTTTCAGCGCCCTATTTAATCATCAAATTGCAGCGAGAGATTCTTGTGTGTTTTAGTGTTACTATGAGTGTTAGTGTGCATGCATCTGTGTGAATGCGCCAGGTGCGTGCAAAATGAAGAATGCATATGAATGAGTATATAAGTTTTGTCTCCTTTTTCAAACAGGCCTTAAAAGACCAAACCGTATGTGGGCAGGCCGGTTCGCCCTTGAACCTAGGATGATGTAAAGACTGTCATATAAATCACATATACAAGATGATTCTTACAGTTCATATTACTGCCGGAGAGGAGTGTTCAGAGACCTCTAGTAACATATCCTTAAAATAGGAATGGCAATCTCCCTCCACATTAGCCAGACCAGCCAGAGGAGTAACAGTAATCTTTAAAAAAAAAAAAAATCAAACAATGTGAGGGGATGGTTTGGTATTCAAGAAATTTCTTTTTTTGTAAAAGAATACTCACATATCCTTCTTGCAAAAATTTGTAATCATTATCGTTGGCATCACATTGGGGCCCTCTTTTCTGCAAGAGTTAAACAAACTTCCACAGCATATCAGGGAGAGACTGAGACCAAAGGAGGGTAAAAGATAAGTGGGATCATTCTGCATTCCCTATGACTTTGCATATCCTTTATAAGCGGACAAGATTGGAGAATTACATCATCATATTTAAGTTAAATCAAACACGGCACACTCAAGCTGCCAAGCACAATATTAACTATACAGTAGTTATAACAATGGAGTTCCACTTATAGCCGTGAAAATGTAGAAACACAGGCTGCATTATATACAATGCACATGAGATTTCTAAATAGAAGAGAAGATAAAATAAAGGAATGGGCCTACTTCTCTCTTGAATACAAGAAGTCCAGGTGATCCTGATGATGAGTGCGCTTCTGTAGGTCCTGCTGTCTCTATGTCCATGGTCATCTCAGAGGTGACTTGCCGCCATCCCATCTTGATCCGGCTTTGGCCCTGCTTAGTCAGCTTGTAGCCCTTTGATGCATAAAAGACAGCCAAGAACAACAATTTATATTTGATTGGATGGAAAAATTTCTTGTGGCAGAGTCAGCAATATTAATCCCCTGAACTCAACTACGCTATGATATACAACTTTTAACTTTGATATGGTGGATACAATAATGCCAAGGCAAATAAAAACAAAATCATGACAATTCCTTATGGAGTGGAAAACAACGTCAAAATGTGTCAATTAAAGATAAAAGGGCATATCAATTATGTATGAAATCAGACACTAGATCCTAGCCTTGTGACTTGGCATTCTGAGCTAAACTATTTTTCTAATATTCCAGACAATATGTACCACAAATCATAATTGATGATAAGATGACATTGCTCTCAAAATAAACACCATTCACATGAAAGCTATAATTTCAAAAAAGAAATCATGGAAAATAGGATTGCCAAGTTACCGCAAACAGTATATCAATTCTATAAAATTTACACTAATATTACTCAGTTAGGCCGCTGACAACGTGTTAGATCTAATTAGACATTATCCGAGTGATAAGTGAAAACTTGATAGGATTTTCTGATGGGGAATTCTATAGGATAGGGAAGCAAAAATGCATGCAAAAGCAATTGGATATCAGCAAAAGCAGTCAAGTCAGAAGCGATGGTTATTACTGAAAAAATATTTCCAAAAGTAGATGATTTGTAAGCTTTACTATTTGACAAATTTAGTGACGGATTGGTTAAAAGAACAGTGCCAAGTTCTTGAGTTTTGTGTAAGAAATGTTGTCATCCTTTGCTCTGTATCTTGCCAAAATGGGGGCATGCAGGCACATGGTGGTCTGCATCATGTTAACAAAATTTTGCATGCCAAATAGAGAAATGCAGCAATGATCAAAATGTACCTTATGACTAGCAACATTTGTTGGCACTTCTACGTTTTAAAAAGCATCCTTGATGATATTTTCGATTCTTTATCTCAACCAATACAGCACTTATGATAGGCAAGCACTCTTGAGCTGAAAGGGTGAAGTCATGTGGGTCACTCTTTCCTTCAACCCTGGACGTACAGGAAATCTAAAATGATTAAATAGGAAAATGAATAAAAAGGAAAAGTGATTGGCATGGCTTATAATTCCCATCAGCTCTATCATTGATAAAAGCTGTTTCAAAAATTAAATCAATTGTAGAAATAATTAAACCCAGTGATATAGCTACAGTTGTTTCATTATACCAATCATATGAGATGGAAATGGAAGGTATATTATTGAAAAAAGCCTCTCGAGCTCCAGCCACAGTGCCTGAGGAAACACTGCATAAATGGGAATTCTAATCAGCACAGCAATGAGCCCATAAGTGTAAAATGGCAAGATGGAGACATAAGTAATGACTACTGAAGCAACAATAGTGGAAAAATATATCATAGCTTCAATTGCAGTTGGGTGTGCCTTAAATTTCATGGAATGTAAATGCGATTATCTCCTTGCTCACTTCAAGAAATGTCAAAATAATAATATTACTTTGTTATAATTCAATTTTATGTCCTTCTAAAGTTTCTATTACATCCTTTGCTTGAACATCCAGCTTTTAAAACTGACCACATAACAAGTTTTAAGCAGTACCTTCCAATTCAATGCTTTATATGAAAAAAGAACAGCTTTCTAATAGAACTATAAAAAATAGAATTGATATAAATCCACGTCATGGTACCTAACTTTATTTTGCTTACTTAGTGAGGGAATAGAGCCTCAGATGCTACCCCTTCTTCCCCGTCTCAAGGTAACCATGCTTCTTTATAAAGATACGATTAAAGAATCCAAACAAGGGGGAAAAAGATACATACATGTGATAACCGCAGTTGCTACCCTTGTTTATACCACTAACTACCTGTACTTATAGATAGAAACGACATTAGTGAACAAAAGGAAGGATTATTTATGTGGATCGACTTGATCAAATAGGTCTCATGCAGGAGATCTTCTCAGGAAAGAGAGGGGAAAATCCTGACAAAATAAAAATATGGCATAAAATTTTTGGCACAGATGAGTTCAGTAACCGTTGTATCATCAGAAGTTCCATGAGCTCCTTTTCAAGTTTTAACAAACCATATCACAACGCTATACGCTATAGTATTCTCATAAAGAAACTATAGAAGAACTGCCAGAATGGTATTAACTTGGGAAGAGAGTCCATCCTAGGAATGTGATAATTTATAAATTCAAAACTAAAATTTTAAACCTCAACCGTACCAGATCAGCCACTGTTGGAAAAAGATCTTTGGAAATTCCCAGGGAAGTACAATCAGCTGGAGTCCCTAAAAAAAAAAAAAAAAAAGTTTGATGTTGAGAGACTGAAAAATATATAGGTTTGATGTCAAATAAATGCGAGGCAAAATATTAGACTCTTTTTAAATAATTAGCAAGTGTGTGCGCGCGCGCGCGTCTCAACTGAAAAGCATTTTAACTGTACAAGAGTCTGAAGAGGAATTTAACAAATCCGAATATCTTGATTATTCCATGCGGATTTGCTCCTGAAACTGATAGGTAAGAAGCAATAAAAGAAGGCCGCCTTCAATAAACTGATCGATCATATGAAAGTCACCATTTCCCATTCCAAGGGCAAAATCACCAAGCGGAAGAGGCTCAACAGCAAAAAGAATATAAAGAAAGCAGAGGAAAAGATGCAGATGTTTAAGCATGCAAGTTGGTGGCGCGCGCGCGCGAAATAACATTTCAACTTAGGTTAATGGGAAACAGAAACAAACCAGAGATTGCAAAGGCTGTGGCTCCATCAATGTGTACTTGCTTGGCAGTAACAGGGAGACGCCAAGTCATACTATGACTTACAACTGACTTCTCACTGAAAAAGTTCAAATCAAGACAGAAAAGAAAACCGTTAAAGAAAAAGTAACAACTGGGGAAGGGCTGAAGAGTCAATAATATGCTCCAGAGCTTTGGAAACAAAAAAGTAAACGCTTACGAAACCACAACAAAAACCTGTAAGATAACAATGCGAGCTACAGGTGGTACAAAATCCGAGCTACAGGTTGTACAAAATCATTGTTATATATGAAAAAGCTGGCCATTCTTTACGCCCTATTTGGGTAACATTCTAAACCCCAAACCATAGTTTGAGTAAAAAAGTTACCAAACAGGAAGTAAAATTAACAAACCATAATTTGGGACCAAAATCATAAAGGGTGTTTAGATGAAACCAAACTATGATTTGGAGAATAGATTTTTGGAAAAATAGATTTTGTGAAAAATAGATCTTCAGAAAAAGTGATTCTGTTAAAGTAAGAGTGTTTGGATAGTTGTTATCAGAAACACTTTTTATATATACAAATTACTAAAAAAAGATAAGTTAATATGATAATTACATAAAAAATAGATTTTATAATATATCTTAATTTGAAGAAATAAAATTGTTAATAATATATTTTTTACTAACATAATTAATAATATAATATAATATAATTAATAAATAATTAATATGTGTATATATATTTATAAAATATAAGATTAAATATGTTTATAAAAAAAAAATTTGACAGGTGTTAAATTCATATTACCGTTTAAATCTACTCTGACAGACACAATCATACCCTTTAATTTGAGTTAGAAGCAGAATGAATTCATTTATTCTAAAATCATGGTTTGGATCCAAAACCATAGTTTGTCAATTTCTTCTCCTGTTTGGCAAGTTTGAAATCCAAACCATAGTTTGGGTTCCAAAACTATGGTTTTGGAGGTTAGCCAAACAAGCCCTAATAGTTTTGGATTCAAAACTATAGTTTCAAAAAAAGTGAATCTATTCTGTTTCTGGTTCAAATTGAAGACTATAATTATGCCTGTTAGAGTAAATTTTAACGATAATATGATTTTAATATTCCTCAATTATTTTTTTATAAACATATTTGATCTTATATTTTATAAATATATATACAAATATTAATTATTTATTAATTACATTATCTTATATGTCATTAATTATATTGGTAAAAAAATATATTATTAACAATTTGATTCCTTCAAATTAAAATAAATTATAAAATCTATCTTTTATGTAACTATAATGTTAATTTATGTTTTTTTAGTAATTAGCACATATAAAAAGTATTTCTAACAACAGTTATCCAAATATTTTCACTTTATCAGAATCACTCTTTCACAAAATCTATTATCCCAATAATCTATTTTTCAGAAATTTTTCTCCAAACTATGGTTTGATTTTATCCAAACACCTTTTTAAATTAATAAGCAAACTCAGTCTCGCTAATACTTCTTGATGATGGACATGCGAAGTTTAGCTGTAGCAAAGCAACAATATATATATATATATATATATATCTCTCTCCACATCCAAGAATACATTTCGTATCACGCCTAGAACTTGATAAATGGCCAAGAAGTCAGACGAAAACACGAGATGATCAAATCCAAAGAAATTAACAAACGATAAAAAAAAAAGTGATTATTGAAAATATATAGGCACCTATCAGGGGCCGCTACTTGAACATTGTAACGATTGGTGGCAACGAGAACTTCAACCAAAGCTCTCAGACCAGGCGCGTCGATTCCATCATCGTTTGTGACGAGAATTGTGGGTTTGCTAGTCTCCTCCATTGTTGTTGCCTGAGTACTCCGTTTCAGAGAGAAGAAGAATGCGAGAGAGTTTAGGAAGCGGAAGGGAAGGAGGATGAGGAGAGTATTTATACAATTGTACCAGAAATCTTGCTCCCACTTCGTGCGTGTGGTCTAAGCAACAGCCATCAGAGTACCTTTGATTCCATTTGCATTTATGCATTCATAGGAACCACTTCGTGCGTGTGCGCTAAGCAACAGCGATTAGAGTGTCTTGATTTCATTTCAGACTAATAATTTTATAATTAAATAGTTAAGATTAAAGTATACTTTCAGTTCTTTAACTTTACACAAGATTTTATTTTGGTCCTTTAACTTTAAAAAGTAAACTTTCAATCCTTTAACCTTAAAGCTGTTAACAAAAAATGATGATATTAAATTCTTAAATGTTAATAAAATATTACTAAATACTAATATGTTAAGATTAATTTGTAAAACAATTATGATTGTTTCAAAAAATTATCACTTAAGACTAACAATTTTAAGCTTAATAGACTAAAAGTATACTTCTTAAAGTTAAAAGACTAAACTAAAACTTTGTATATAGTTAAAGGACTAAATGAATACTTCAGCTGATAATTAAAATACATCTTTTAAAGTTGAGGATTAAAATAAAACTTTATATAAAATTAAAAAATCAAACATATATTTTGGGCTAAAACTGATTTACATATAATAAGTAAACATGTTTATGCATGCATTAACTTGTAGCTTCAAGGAGTTGGAATAGACAAAATCTTCGAGCATAATAGATATAACAGATTAAAATTTTTTGAAAAATATTAAAAATTGAACCAAAGATAAACAGGTCAAAACAATGGTTACAAAAGTCAACAGTTCATATCAATTATATTAAATAATATAATTTAATGGTCAAACAAAATACAATAATGTCAATAATCTCTAATAATAAAATATAAGAAAATATCATGATAATTTAATGAAAAAAATTCCAATTAAATTGAATAGAAATACTTAAATTCAAATTTAGATATACAATTTTAACAAATTTCTAATTAGGCCATGAGGCTTTATTAAGAATTTCTAAATATTGTTAAATGATCAAAATGCCCTCTTTAATTAAAAATAAAAATTAGCCATTTCACCCCATCCAAGTGTTCCTATAATTGTTTTTTAGGACTGAAAAACACATAAGTAATTTTATAGTGTTTAAAATTTATAAATATAACTAAAATCTAAAGATATTTTAATAAAACATTTTATATTACATTATAAGTACCCTTTACTAAATATTTTGTTTTTTCAAGTTGTAAATATTTATTTTAAGATTTAAAATATTTTAATTACAAGAAATATTTAATATTAAGTTGTTGTAAATTATGTGTTTGAGTAGGAATCCAATGTCTTCTTAAATAAATAAAATTAACATAAATTATAAAAACATAATATTAAATATTTCAGGTAATTAAAATATTTTGAAATCTGAAATTAAATATTTACAGGCAGAAAAAATTATTTATTTTAATGCTATTTATGCTGTAATTTAAAATGTTTCACTTGAATATTTTTAATGTTTTCAGTTATATATATATACAAATTTTAAACTCTATAAAATTACTCATGTGTTTTTTGGTTCTAAAAATAATCATAAGAGATCAAAGATTGAGTAAAATAATCAATTTTTCCTTTTAATTCACGAATGATGTTTTATTCATTTAACAACATTCAAGAATCTTATATTAGGCTTAAGAATTTGTTAGTACCTTTGATTCCATTTGCATTTATGCATTCATAAGAAGCACTTCGTGCATGTGTGCTAAGCAACAGCTATTAGAGTACCTTTATTCCAGACTAATAATTTTATAATTAAAATATAGCTTTTAAAGTTAAGGATTAAAATAAAACTTTATATAAAATTAAAAAATCAAACATATATTTTGGGCTAAAACTGATTTACATATAATAAGTAAACGTGTTTATGCATGCATTACCTTGTCGCTTCAGGGAGTTGGTATAGACAAAATCTTCGAGCATAATAGATATAACAGATTAAAATTTTTTGGAAAATATTAAAAATTGAACCAAAGATAGACAGGTCAAAACAATGGTTACAAAAGTCAACAGTTCAGATCAATTATATTAAATAATATAATTTAATGGTCAAACAAAATACAATAATGTCAATAATCTTTAATAGTAAAATATAAGAAAATATCATGATAGTTTAATGAAAAAAATTCCAATTAAATTGAATAGAAATACTTAAATTCAAATTTAGATATACAATTTTAACAAATTTCTAATTAGGCCATGAGGCTTTATTAAGAATTTCTAAATATTGTTAAATGATCAAAATGCCCTCTTTAATTAAAAATAAAAATTAGCCATTTCACCCCATCCAAGTGTTCCTATAATTGTTTTTTAGGACTGAAAAACACATAAGTAATTTTATAGTGTTTAAAATTTATAAATATAACTAAAATCTAAAGATATTTTAATAAAACATTTTATATTACATTATAAGTACCCTGTACTAAATATTTTGTTTTTTCAAGTTGTAAATATTTATTTTAAGATTTAAAATATTTTAATTACAAGAAATATTTAATATTAAGTTGTTGTAAATTATGTGTTTGAGTAGGAATCCAATGTCTTCTTAAATAAATAAAATTAACATAAATTATAAAAACATAATATTAAATATTTCAGGTAATTAAAATATTTTGAAATCTGAAATTAAATATTTACAGGCAGAAAAAATTATTTATTTTAAGGCTATTTATGCTGTAATTTAAAATGTTTCACTTGAATATTTTTAATGTTTTCAGTTATATATATACAAATTTTAAACTCTATAAAATTACTCATGTGTTTTTTGGTTCTAAAAATAATCATAAGAGATCAAAGATTGAGTAAAATAATCAATTTTTCCTTTTAATTCACGAATGATGTTTTATTCATTTAACAACATTCAAGAATCTTATATTAGGCTTAAGAATTTGTTAGTACCTTTGATTCCATTTGCATTTATGCATTCATAAGAAGCACTTCGTGCATGTGTGCTAAGCATCAGCTATTAGAGTACCTTTATTCCAGACTAATAATTTTTGTAACAACCCCCGTAATTCATGGTAAATAAACATTTTCATGTATAAAATAAGAAATGGTCAACATTTGATTTTTCATGTATATATCAAATCCATCAGCAATACTCTGGAATCTCAGATACAATTAAGACCAATTGTAAATGGGCTAGGGCATTTGAAGTCCACCAAAACAACTACCACTGCTGCCCATTGTCAAGTGCAATCAAAATAACAATCACATATGTCCAAAAAAGGCTCCGCCCAATAATACAAGTCTAGAATGCAACGGAAAGGCTATGATAATGTTAACTAAAACAAAAAGGCCCTAAAGTTTGGCAATATACATCAGTCAAATCATGTATATCAAAATAGAGGCTATACAGAGTGGAAAGGAAAACTCAAGCCTCGGACACCTTCCCCTTGGGACCTACACCTGAACCCTCGCCTGAAAAATGTTAAATAACCACGGGGTGAGTCAAATTGACCCAGTAACGACAATTCCAATTTAACAAGTATCCAGGGAGTGATTACAAGATAGCTAAGCGGGCAAAGTACAATTTCAAATAACATATAAGTTAAACATCTTTACAGAAAACAATATATAATAATTCAAAAAGTAACTTGCATGCATAGAACTTCATCATCCATCCTTATAACCTCCTTGTAACCTCTGACAGAACCCATGGGCTATTCACATATAACAGGATTCATCTCTTTTACAAGACTGCACCAAGCTCTCCAATAATGAGGTGTAACTCGGCCAAAAGTTACAGAGCTCATATCGGACCATGGGTTCCCTTTAGTACTGGGAAAACGGGCCGGCCCGGCCCTGCAGGACCGGCCCTTGACGGGCTCGGGCTTAAACGGGCCGGCCCGTTTAAGCCCGAGTTCCAAAAATAAGTTATTTTTTCAAGCCCGGCCCGTGAGATGACGGGCTCGGGCTAGCCCGCGGGCTTTTGGTCTTTTTAATTAAAATGAATTTTTTTATTTTTTTTGTATATTTTATCAAAATAATAAAAATGAAACAATAAAAATTACTAATAAAAGGTATAACTATAAATAAAATTGAGTCACAAATATAAACATTATCATGTCTAAACATATATTACAGTATAATAAAGTCTATTGAATAAACAAACTAAATAGAGGACAGACATAAACAACTAAATAAGCATTAAGTTCAGTAGATAATTACAATACGGATGATCTAGTTTGATTATAAATAATTAACAAAAAAGTTTAACTAACAAACATAGTATGCATAAAGAATAATCATTTATCATACCGACAAAAAAGAAAAGAGTCCATCATCCTTAGTTCTAAATTTGTTTCTACTATAAAAATGATATAGATCTTTATTTTAGTTTAAAAGATTTTTTGATCAATTATATTTCAAGTATAAAAAATATGGGAGAATGATAAATAAAGACTGTAAAAATTACAGATACAGTATTTTAATAGGTTTTGACAACTTATAAATAACAATATATTTTTATGAATATACCTAGTTTTAAATTTTGCAATTTTCATGTTTTTTTGGTTATTTTTCCCACAACTATAGTGATTCTTTTTTTCTTTTTGTGAATGCTATCTATGTGAGCTGCCAAGATAAGTAAAACTAAGAGTATGCAATATTTAAAATGTTAGGGTTTTCTTTTTTAAGTTAAGAAAAAAAAGACAGAAATTTTTAAAAAAAATTGGCGAGCCTAAACGGGCCGGCCCGTTTATTTTTCGGCCATACAGGGCTGGCCCTTTTAAGCCCGACTTTCCTTTTAAGGCTCCAAAATACAAGCCCAGCCCTCGACTTAAACGGGCTTAAACGGGCTCAGCCCGACGGGCTCGGCCCGTTTTCCCGGCTCTAGTTCCCTTCCCTTGGAATATGGGAAGGTGTCATGTCCCTTGGGCTGACCCTTGACCCGGCCAAAGGAAGGGTGA